GTGCTGTCGGTGCTGTCAATGCTTCAATGCGGTTCGGCGGAAAAAACTCTACTTGTTCACTTCCTTTCTGTATTTTTCATACTTTATTACAAGGTAACTTAAAAGCAGTCTAATAGTGCAGTTTCCGTGTTTTGAAAAAGTAGTACTCAGAAAGCACCCTGTATAAGCACAACTAACTAGCATTTTAAAATACTTGCACGTATCACAAAAAGTAAAATAGCAGCTAAAATTATTATTGTGTGATTATTATTATGATTATACGAAAGAGTATAAAACAGAGAGCTCCGTGGCTTCCGAGCTCACTTGAGTTAAATATGTAAAAACACATGTCGAAATCGCCAGGATATCAGCAAACACTATGTTTAGTAGTTATTTAAAATGTCGTTGACACTTGCATTTTAAATTTTGAATTTTGAATTAGCACATTTCAAAATATTTTAGTTTCGCTTTAAACTTTTTTTATCATCATATACTTTCTAATAAACTATACTTTTCTATTAAGGTAGACTAAATTTCTCTTAAGTCTGTAAAGTTCTTATAAACATTTTATTATAAAACAAAAAAGTACAATATACAGTATACATCCGATTAAGACTAGGACATACCATTTTAATTCACATATAATTATTCAATAGATCACCACCATCCTCCTTAGAACTCATACAAACCGAATGCTCGCATCTCTCAAAACACAGAAACACCATATTTGGAAACACACCCCCGTTCAATCTATTAGTTGACACTTCAAAATCAAACATTCTGTTTATAAGTAAGTATCTCCAATGTGTGTTTAGGCACCCAAATGTAACAAAACAAAAAAAAATATGTATTTCTTAATTTAAACTTAACAGTACACCCCATCCCCTCTACAAGCCACCTTTCCACACGCAAAAAGAATAAAAATAAAAAAATAAATCAGGGTAATTAAGCCCTAATCATACTGCCATCATACCTTCAGAGCTAAATCGAAGCTAAATAGTTTAACTTACTGTTTCGAGACAGTGGACTACACCCATAAATGAAAATTCACTGAAGAAGGAGATGGTCTTAACTCAATCTAATAAATTTTATATATTAACACTTTCTTTTTAAATCAACTTTTCACAGAAAAGCTAAGTAAGTAGACTGGTTGACTATATTTTAATTAGGCTTTAATTAGAACAATCACCAGTGATGAAAACATCGATTATATGTATTTAAGTATAGTGTGATGAAGATTAGGTTATAAAAACTATTTGATTGTCTTTGTAAAATATTGAATGCGAATCCTTAAAAATAAGCAAGCTCTTTGTGCGTTGAGTAATGCGTTAACCGACCTTGTCCAAAAACCTAATTTTCTAAATATTCCCAAAAGTCTCTTAGAATGATTAAAGTCAAACAGGGAAGTCTTCTGCAGAGATTCATAACTGTTTATAACACATATTTTCTTTGTTACGAAAGGAGATTGAAGGAGAGAGGACATTGAAAAAATTGTAAAAATTCCAAAGAATGTGAAGACTGCGCCATTAACTGGTAGCTGGTAAGTAGCTCGTCAGTGAAAGGGTTAGAGTACAAAAATTCCAAATGTTTGTCTGTTGCTGAATGACTTGCATTGCATTGCATTTGATATAAGTCGAAGATTCAATCCATTTGACTTAATTGACTTGATTGAGTTACTGCACTCTTCAACAATTTGAACGAGGGAAGTACTCGAATATGAAATAAAAATTTTAATACGTACTGGTAGTTTTTTGCTGAAAAAACAAAAACAAAACCTTCGCTACAGTAACCACAGTGTAAAAAGCTTAAATAAAGTACTCTCACTTCTTGCCAGTTGCAGTAATGCATGCACACAATTATGATATCATTATGATATCGTACATTTTCCTACGTTTTCTTCTTCGCTTAGTGAAGCGTTGAACGAAATATTTGTTACGAGAAAAGTCCACACCTCCGTAAATAATAAAATTATGTCCGCCGGAGGGTGTAGAGTAGACCACATCTATAAATTATTCGATCGAAGTCATTAAATCATGCACATGTGTACCCCCTAGTCTTTTCCAAACACATTTTTCCTTTACCCTTTGTTCATAGTGGAGAGATGATGCATTGAAAGTGCATTGACATTTACGTAATAATGACTCCGCATATGAGCCTGAATTCAACGGTATTTTCCTTTAATTTTTTTTTTTTTAATTTAATTAAAAGGTCGACATTTACCATATATAAAATCTTATTTTGTGCTCTTTTGTCTTTTTATATTTCATATAAAATATAAATCTAATGCATATATATATTTGGTTGTTTATACAAATAAAATATGTATTATATAAATTATATAAAAAGAAAAATGTTTTATAACGTATAGTTTATGTGCTTACATACTTAACATATAATCTAAAAACATTATTATTATTATAAGTAGAGTGGTATAAACTCGATCATTAACGGTTTATGTTAAAGCGTTCATTATTGAATTATCATCTCTTACGCTCTCTATAGTAGACAATACTTGCTCTACAAAAGAATGATTATTTTTACTATATAGTGGAAAGTCTTAATCTTTTTTAAGTCGATGTTTGATCACTTTGAATCGTTGATCAATTCTGAATGAAAACTTCCTCCAAAAATATATATAAGCAGTGCATTCTCCAAGGATATGAAAAAATGTATCTGGTACTCCATATATAAACTGTATTTGTCGGTTTCTGTTAGTCTGACACACACTTTCTGCTTGGTCAAAGAGCAGTAACCAGTTATCGTTCCAATTTTCTCTGTAGAATTAACAGTTTGATCACTTTGAATCGTTGATCAATTCTGAATGAAAACTTCCTCCAAAAATATATATAAGCAGTGCATTCTCCAAGGATATGAAAAAATGTATCTGGTACTCCATATATAAACTGTATTTGTCGGTTTCTGTTAGTCTGACATACACTTTCTGCTTGATCAAAGAGCAGTAACCAGTTATCGTTCCAATTTTCTCTGTAGAATTAAGAGTTATTTGCTTTTCTTCTCACAGTAGTTCGGGCAAAAGAGCTTGGTGCAAAACGATCCTCCCTCCTTCGTTAGACGATTTGTGGTTAACTTTATTGTTATAATATAGTTAATAGGGCTTTTGAAATGATTTCGACACCCAAAATTGGATTCAAACCATATGGTTGCCTTGAGGCCGCTACTTTAGCAAATTGGTCTACTACTTTATTGCCATTAAAACAATCATTGTATACAGGTATGCAGTGTAAAATCGTATGATTCTTAAAAGCAAGGTTTTGTAACACATTTACTGTTCCGTAGCGCATTAAAGAGTTTCTCGGTACCAAGCCTGAAGTTTTAGTAACTGCCTATATATTTATTATAAGGACTACTCTTAACTGTCTTCTGATTGTAAATATCTTTCGCAAATATTTATAGCAAAAATTTTAGTTTGATTTGATTTAATTTAGTAATTATTCACAGATCGACAAATTTTTTGTTGGAAATACCCGAATTCGAACCCTGTTCAGTTTCGATGGCTTCTGTGTACAAGACAATATCATGCGTGAAAGGCACGGATAGACTTATCGGCTCTGTGGAACAATGTGGAACGATGGCAAGATACTTTTTCTAAAACGTCTTCCAACTTCCCAAATTTTGAGTTTTTGAAGCATATAAACCTACTTGTAACAAAGTGTTACTTAAGCATAGGAGGCGTTCCTAGCCTACATTTTTTGTCAGATTCCTGCTTTTTGTGCATAAGTCATTATGGATCATCATTCTCTTGTTTGCATGTAGCTCTTATAGATCTCAGCATATTAATTATATCCAGTATTCTGTAGTCTATTCAGTTTATTTTCCTTCAGTTCATTTGCACATAAATTTTGCACTTTTGCAGTCGATTAAACTACTCCACCTCATCTTTACCTGTATTTTCATTTTACCGAAAAATTACTATGAAATGTTGAATTTAATTTAACAGATTTTAAGATGATTTTTTCATTTCTACGAACAAGGTTTTTGGCAATCTCATTCAAAAAATCAAACATATAACATTTAAACTTTGCGAAGAACAAAACACTAATTTACAGCCAGATAATGAGACCAGCACTACTTTATGGGTGTGTCGTGTACAGAAAAGTTGCCGACTCTACTATCAAGAAGCTACAAGTTGCTCAAAGTTAGGCTTTCCGAAGTCTCTTCAAAGTGCCATGGTACATCCGCATGAATGACATGCTAAGAGAGCTTAGAATAGATCCAGTCAAAAAATACATAAGGGACAAAACCCTGAAGCTATATGCGTAAACCGACAGACTGCCTTACTTAGTATTATCTAATCTCAGAGTAATCACTAACCGGATGAAGCTGCCACACTTAGCACTATCTAATCTCAGAGTAATCATAAACTGGACGCAGCTCTTTGATCAGTCATTGGATAATCACGAAGCGTATGAGGAACACACAAATTAGTTAGCGAGATGTGTGGGACTCTGCAGTCCCACACCCCCCAGCTATCAAAGAGTAAAGTACCCAGATGCATTAACTCGGAAAGGCTCAGCAAAATCGAGAAGAAATGAAGTAAAATCACAAAAACATAAAAAAGTTTAGCAAAAGTTAAGTTTATTTTCAATAAAATCTAACCAAGGGTACTTTTAGTTTTCAGTTATGTTGTTACATTAAAAAATTTTTAAATTAATTAACAGACTTTGCTTATTTACATGTTTTAAGAAATTTGAATTTTATTCTATGCACCAAATCATAAAATATTCCATTAAATTTGCATCAAAAAACATTTTGTAAGTATCTTTGCATACCACAGCCAAGTGGAAAGTAAAAAGACGTCCATTAGTGTCTCTACTGCTAGAGAGGAAATAAGCAAATTATCACTTGGCAAGTTCCTTTTTTCACTTTTGTACACACAAAAACTGCAAAGCAGCCC